ATGTAAGGACGTGATACTAAAAAAAACTATTGGATGTAGGCATAAGTAGTATTCCATGGCTGAGGAAATGACACACTGCGTACATCCTTTGAAACCAGATGATCTTAGCACTCTGCAAATATCTCATCAACATCTTCTTTACATATGATTATGGGAGGAACATCAACATTAAGGACTCTTGGAATACGTTGAAGATACTTGAACTGACTAGTGACTCACTCAGGTAAATGTGGATACATCACTAGTGAGAAAGGGATTCCCCCTGTTGATGTACGTACCGAAGTACGATAACCGTGTAGAGCAAAGGGCAACATCTCGTGCCAATTTTTGTAGGTCATTACCATCTTCTGCACAATCTTATTAATATTCTTGTTTGCTGCCTCAACAACGCCATTCATCTTCAGACGATATGGAGAAGAATTGTGATGTTCAGTCTTGAAACTCTGGCACAGTTCCTTCATCGTCTTGTTGTTCAAATTTGACTCATTATCAGTAATGATTCGCTCTAGGATTCCATAACGACAGATGATGCCCTTCTTTATAAACTGGGCGACTACCTGCTTTGTAACATTAGCAAACAAGGTTGCTTCCACCCACTTTGTAAAGTAATCAATGGAAACCAAAATGAAGCGGTGCCCATTGGAAGCAGTCGGCCCAATATTTCTAATCGTATCAATGCCCCACATAGCAAAGGGCCAAGGAGATGTCAACACGTTCAGAGGGGTCGGTGGCATATGCACCTTATCAGCATAAATCTAACATTTATGGCACTTTCTGGCGTATTTGAAACAATCAGATTCCATAATCATTCAATAGTACCCATCCCTCAATAATTTTCTGGCTATTGCATGTCCACCGACGTGAGTACTGAAGGAACCCTTGTGAACTTCTTCCATCAACAGACTTGCTTCATGTTCATCAACATAACGCAACAAGCCCATGTTGAAATTTCTCCTGTACAATACATCATCCTTCTTCAAGTAGAAATTGTGTGCAAGCCTCCTCAGAGTCTTCTTCTCCTTGCTAGATGCCCTAGATGGGTATTCCTGATTCTTGAGAAAGTGTTTGATATCATGATACCATGGCTTGCCATCTGACACCTTTTCAACTGCAAACACAAATGCAGGTCTGTCAAGGCGCATAATGGTAATAACTGGAGCTTCATTCCAGAAATTCACCTTCTACATTGACGCCAGCATGGCCAACACATCCGCCATCTGGTTCTCAGCCCTAGGCACATGATGGAAATCTACTCTGTCAAAGAAATGTAGCAGTCTTCTAGCATAATTCTTGTATGGCACCAAGTTGGCCTGACGAGTTTCCCATTCTCCTTTAATCTGATCAACAACCAACACTGAATCGCCATATACATCAAGATTCTTGATCCTCAGATCAATGGCCTCTTCCAAACCCATAATGCACACTTCATATTCTGCTTCATTATTAGTGCAAGAGAACGTCAATCGGGCAGTGAACGGTATGTGGGAACCGTGAGGAGTTGTAATGATTGCCCCGATCCTGTTACCATATGAGTTGACAACACCGTCGAAAACCAAACTCTACCGAGATCCAATCTCAGGACCCAGGGGAAAATGGGGGAAAATGGAGAGAGTGAGTGAAGAATTAAAAATAAGTGATAGAGAATGAGAATGTGATATGTAGAAAATTTAGAAAAGGATTGGAGATTCTTAAGGAATGGGAGGAAATTGTTTAAATAGAGAATATGTTTGGAGCACAAGAAGGTTTGGAAATTGGTTTAGAATGCAAATCAAAGATCAATTGGTTCAAAATGGGTATGGAAATAAGGGTATATGGTGGAAATTAATTATGATGAGGTAGGGGAATAATATTTAGCTGCTAATTGAGTGATTTTGTCTGCTCTAGAATGTTCCATCTGGTGTAAGAGTGAATCATGCAAGTGCAATCAAATGTCAACTGCTGCAGAACTGAAAAGTTGTTGTTTTTGGCCAAAATTAAATGATAAAATCGATTACATGAATTAGGGTAATCAATTACATGCTTGAAAAAGTCAAATCCTGCGCCTTTTGAAGGGGGTGTAACCGATTACACCAATTGTGTTAATCGATTACATTAGTGAAAAAAGTGAAAAATTGGTATGTTCTGCATTGCTTTGGTCTTAGCTTGAGGTTTACTTATTGAAGTAGGGAGTGAAAGTGTTCATCAACAAACTAAGAAAGATGACGTTCATTAGTAAGGGTAAGTATTCAAATCCTGATGAAATTTTCAGCATCCCATGACTTTTACTAGCAAATTCGGAGGAAAAAATTTAAATAAGGAGAAAAACATTATGAGTAGTTAGATTCCTTAGATTAGGTATTTTTAGATAAACATACTTGTACTTGTTGAATCATATGAACGTTTGATGTTAATTGAATTATTTTATGTTATCGTTATTAATTAATTTTCCTTGTGTTCATTTCTTTTTATTTATTAACAAATGCATGAATTGATATTAGATGAGTAGGGATTTTTTTTCCTGTTAGTCTATCAATCTGACTCAGGGTATTTATTCAACTTAGTAATTAACTAGGAATATGTAATTATAATTGTGGATTTCTAATTAACGAACTTAGAACGCCTAATTTAACTATGAATTGGCCTAATCAATTATGGAATTATTGTGTAGATTAGTGATATGTACACCAAAGAATTGGGTGCAGTGGTCGTGTTAATTTGTCGTAACATGTTAATATATTATAAAGATAATTAATGCACAAATAATCAACAAGTATGAGTAGGGATGTTGAAAGAAGATATAATATTTTTTAGTTATTAAATTCAACTAGTGGATATTCTCATTTTTATTCTCAATCTGAATAACTATGAAACCTCCCTTTTTGTTATTTAATTTTACTCACATGATAGTTACCTTATTTAAAATTCAAAATCTCGGTAGAGACGAATTTATTTATTACTTCGACGATATTACTACTGTTGCTTGAATTGCCCGTCACTAATCTCGAGAATACTAGTTAGAAAGTTTATCTACCCTATCGCTTGAGCAACGTTTCACCTTCAATCTCCCTCTCTTATTCTTCCCTATTGCTAAATGTGCAACCTTCAAGTGAAGTCATGGATGAATTTGTGTGATGGAGGACCAACAAGGACTTCTCAGTCAGTAGTAGTTATGCAAGATAACAAGAGGTTTATGGTACATCTAATCGTATGGATGATAGAGTGCTTACAGATTTGGATTCTTTGTGGAAGAAAATGGTGCCTAGCAAAGTGTGTCTGTATGGTTGGAGAATGTTAATCTATAGATTATCAAAAAAATGTTACCTTGCAAAGATAGGTGTCATTTAAGGAAGTCACAACATAGCATGTCGTTTTTGTTTTAATGAAGAAAACATAATGACTATTATATTGGAGTGTTTAGGTTAAGCTATTGCCACATAAATTTCTTTTTTACCCCTTTGGTGTAGCCTTTGTAGAGGTTTGTGTGAAAAACCAACTTATAGTTGAAAATATATTTTATAATTATTTTTTTAAATAATCTCATTATTTACTAGTCTCAACTAGTTTGGGTGGCTAGGAAAGGAAATTAGAGGGTTGCTCATCCCACCCTTAATAGTGAAGAGCCACTCTTAAGAAACTTGAAAATTTTATTGGAATAATAAATACGTTAATATCTAGAAACCTCTATACACATCAAAACACTTCGTAAGTGAGCCACCTTCAATTTGAAAAAAAATAGTACAAAAGTTAACTTTTGTATTAATGAAAGGATGAGTATGTAGGTTAAGTTATTGAATAACCCCTCAAAAACTCATGATAATACCTTTATTTCCCAACTATCAGTGGATAGTAGATAATATAGAAGTTAACTTTAAATATTCCTACTTGAAAATATTTTTGTTATAAATTTAACATATTTTAAGTCATTTATACAAAATATATATAATTATTATTCAATTGAACCATACGCTAATGTAACTCAAGCAAAATCCCAAATATTAAGTCAAAGTGAAAACAATACATTGTTTACAAAATACAAACTATCCAAATACAAAGAAAACGTCAACTATTGAGAATATATGACCCTCCGATTTTACCTATGTCTCATGTATTGTAAGAAATTCCGTGCCTCGGCTATCATGACCTCTATTGTTGGCCTCAGAAGAGTGCCTTTCTGAAACTTTAGTCTCTTTATACTCGTTTGCCCAATAACCATAATACGCCGACAAATCGAAAATACAACAACAACAGAGACTCTAGAAATACGTTGCAGATATTCGAACAGACTAATGACTCACTAAGGTAAATGTGGATAGATCAATATATATATATATATATATATATATATATATATATATATATATATATATATATATATATATATATATATATATATATATATATATATATATATATATATATATATATATATATATATATATATATATATATATATATATATATATATATATATATATATATATATATATATATATATATATATATATATATAAATAAGTATTTTATTTATTTACAAAGGACTTATTTTTATCTATATTTGGGATGATTAGTGCAAACCTAAACATAAGAGTGGATAAAAACATTTTCCCATGGTGGGCCAGCTTTTGAAATTATTATTAATAATTGATTACATATAAATAATGAAGGAATTACTCTTTCTATTGCAAAATTGTGCAATTTTAAAAAATTGATAGAATTTTTTATTTGTAAACTTATGCCAATAAAATCAACTATTAAAAGGTTTAGCTTTAAAAAGGGGTGTACCTAAACGAATTTTATTGTAAAAAGAAATATTTAAAAATTTAAAACTCTACTAAGAAGGCAGTATTTACAAAATATAAAAGGTTTTACTTAAAAATAGAAAATAATAAATATACTTAAAAAAACATAATGTTTTATTTCATAAAGACTATGAAAAATGAAAGCTAGACTCTTGATTATAAATACTAGAGCTTTAGAGTTATCTATACAAATTATTATAGCACAGTAAGATTTGCAGAAAAATGAATATGAATATATTAGGCTTATTGTTTGTGGTGATTTTTATCACACAAACAAGTCTCTCGGTAGCCTTTTATGAATATTTTTTAATGGTTCAACAGTGGTCTGTCACTGTATGCATAGATGGAGGATGCCAAAAACCCACATTTGTCTCAAACCAGTTCACAATACATGGGTTATGGCCCACAAATGTGTCTAAACCATATCCTGAATTTTGTAAGGGAAGGCCTCCAGGAAGTGGAAAATTCAGTTTTCCGTTGGTGAGTTTCTTAAATAATATTTTCTATGTAATTGTTTATTTATTTATTTAATGATAAATTCAGCTTATATATATTCTTTTTATTCTTCAGATTTCACATTTGTCAGCTCAACTTCAAACGGAATGGCCCGACGTAGTAAATAAAAACAATCTTAAATTTTGGTCGGGCCAGTGGGATAAACACGGGACATGCTCGCTGAATAAATTCACACAAGACGACTATTTCCAGCAGGCTCTAACTATTAAGGGGATGATTAATTTGATAGATGTTCTGAAAAAAGCAGGTGTTGTGCCCCATAAAACAAAGGATTATAAGATTGATGACATTGTTACAGCCATTAAAGCTCATAATGGAAACAACGACATAGCACTTGTTTGTACTAAGTCTACAAATGGAAACCCAATACCTTATTTAAAAGAAATAAGGTTGTGCTTGTATCCCAATGGAAGTACTCATACACCCTGTCCCCCACCTTTGCGTAGTAGAGATTGTGCTAATAGAAATAACCGTGTAATCTTGCCAATATGATAACTTACTGTCTTCAATAATATATTCTATAATCAATAACAGTATAAAATAAAAGGTCTGTACCTGCTGTGGTGTGTCTTATATAAAATTAATAAAATGGTGTTTGTCTTATATAAAGTTTTATACCTCTTGCATTTCTTAATTAAGATCTAATATTAAATAGTTATCAGATTCTTAATTAATCATATACTTGCTAATAATTATGATATGCATGATTAACAGGCCAAATATATATTCCTAATAGCATTGTAAAATTATAACACCCACTAGCATAAACCTCTTGGGTGAAATGGTTAAGAATATACAAAAAGAGAAATATTTAATCATTTATTCGTTTATTGGAAAGAAGGCGTTTAATTAATGTAAATTATGATATAACGAGAATACAATTGTCTCCTCTTCAATTATTTGAGTAATTAAATTATATCAAACCAATACATTAATTTCTTTTTCCATTATTTCTTTTTTTAATAGCATGCTCAATGCAACTTAAACGATCGAGAATTAAAACGTACAATTATGTGAGAATGTGTTTTTTTGTCTGTTACTTTTTGTGCAACTCTTTGCGTTGCTATGATCTGGCTTTTATGGTTCAAATCTGCGTGGATTTAGTTTTTATTCAAAAGCGTTTTTGAGGCATATATCGTGGAATATTTATGGAATCGCGTGAAGCTATTTTCTGAAGGAAATCTTGAAGATGTGAAGAGTGATTTGATTGGAGCTGATTTGATCAAATCAAATATGTTTTGGTTTTACTCATTGATGCTAATTATTTTAATTGATCAGATGTTGTTTTTGTCAAAGCCCAAACCCGTCCAAGTATTACTATTTAAAGGATTCACAACCCTATTTCGTAGTTGAGGGAAGCTAGTTTTAAGATAGTGCATTGCGCAAGGATTAGTGCTTTTTGCAGTCGTGTGTTTGTGTTAGTTTGTGAGTCATTCACTCATTATGTTAATGTGTGAATTGGATTAAGTTTTGCATTTTAAGTTGTTTACTCAAAGCTTGTAACCATGAGTGTATTGTACTTGATTGAAACTTTTAAGTAAGATCAAGTTTTGTCTTTGAAGAGTGTCTTCTAAAGTTTTATTAACCTGTTGTTATCACTACTGTGATTGAGGGGGTGTGAGAGGTATCTCATATCTAGGAGTGTCCTAGGTAGAAATTGTAACACCCATTTTAATTATTTAGTCTTTTGGTGTTATTTTATTTCGGTGTGCCCATAGGTAGGGGTGTGTCTGAGTATTATGTGGTGGGTGTCCTTAATTTATAGGAGTTGTGTATTAAAATATAGAGATATTAATATAATATAAATAATATTGGTGATAATTTAATTATTATTATTATTATTATTATTGTTATTGGTTGTATTATTATTATTATTATTATTATTATTATTGTTATTGGTTGTATTATTATTATTATTATTATTATTATTATTATTATTATTATTATTGGGATTTAATAAAATAAGAAGTTGAGGGGGTATTAGAGAGATAGTGGGAGAAGAGGAAAAGAAAACACGATAGAACAGTGAGAGAATAGATTTGGGAGAAAAGAGAGAACGAAGCACAAGGAGGAAAAGGGGAAGGCTAGGGTTGTCAGACTCTTGAGGAACTCTTCAACAATCTGAACGACAATCGAGGTAAGGGGGAGAAACTGATTGGGATTGGTAAATTACATGAATTGGGTAGAGGGGATTCCTTAACCCCGTAGAGATTTGATGATTATGAGTTGTATATTGGCATGCTTGCTGTTGTTGTTGATATTGATGAATTGGTGTATGCTATTGATGAATTTTGGTGCATATGTTATGGTGATGTTGGTGAAATAATGTGTTGTTCCCTGTGATGCTGATAATGACCATGATTATGGCTTTGGTGAGGTTCAGAGTAACTTCAGAGGTAGTGGTGAGGTGCCTGAATGTAGGTTCTGGAGTGAAAGTTAGAGAGAACAATTAATGAGATTAATGTATATTAGTTGTAATAGTGATAGAGCAGAAGATGGATGAGGAGTGATAGGCTTAAATTGAGCAAGATGACATTGTTGAACAGTGAGGGTTTTGAGAGATCGCAGACACTCGCTAGCACCTTCGCTAGGCAAGCTAGTAGCGAGCATTCGCTAGGTACTCGCTAGGCGAGTTAGGTAGCGAACACTTCCAATAGCCACTGTATGCATTCCCTAGGGAGTTCTCTAGGCGAATAGGTAGCGAACATTCGCTAGGGCCCCGCTCAGCGAATGAGCCAGCGAGCGTGACAGAATGTGATTTTTGTGTTGTTTTGCCTTGTGCATTAACCCTGTAGGATCCCTTTGATCATGATGAGTATAGGGATGGTAATTGAATGATGAGGAGTGTATACTTGGTGACAGGAAGTGAATTCCTTAATGTTTAATTTAAGTAAATGAGTAATTAGTGTATGAATGATATGAAGTATGGTGAGGTGATCAGTAGGATCGTGTACACTCGGTGTGTTGGGGTATGATTATACTTGGTGTTAGAATGTGGGCGTTCTTAATATCTAATTAATTAATATAATTGATTGGTGTGCGATATATATATATATATATATATATATATATATATATATATATATATATATATATATATATATATATATATATATATATATATATATATATATATATATATATATATATATATATATATATATATATATATATATATATATATATATATATATATATATATATATATATATATATATATGATGTATGGTGATGTGATCAGGAGGATCGTGTGCACTTCGTGTGCTTGAATTTATTTATTGTGCATTGGTGTTATACATATAATGGTGTTTTGGTGGGATGAATCGTTGCTCAGGTGGAGTGTATGTGATTCATCCGTACTCCTTTGTGGAGAATGGTGGGGATAGATCATTGCCAAGGAGAGGCATATGTGATCTATCTAGGGTTCGATTGAATGAACCAATGAGTCGGTACCGTATGCATGGTGTTGAGTTGCATAAGTGCATTATTATATGTTGTGTTGGTGGTTGGACAGTAGGTCGTGATTGGTGTTGGTTGGGTGATGATTTGTGCATTTACTGCCTTTTATTCATGTATCTTATTACCGATAATTTTGATCATATTTTCTCACCCCTTTGTTGTTGTTATGGTTTGTGCTTCTTTGGAAGTACAGATAATCCAGGTACATAGCTAGCTTAGATAGCGGTGTGCGAGTCGAGTCTTAGGATGCTCTGATACGTAGCACGGGACTTGGGTGTTTAATTATTTTTATGTTGAACTTGTTGAAATCCTGTGACGTATCATGTTTTGGTGAAAACTTTTATTAAATGTTTTGTGTAATTGGCGGATGGCCGAGGATGATGAATTAAGGATTATTTCCGCTGCTTTATTTTTGAAAACATATAGTAAAGCCTTTTGTTGGATGTTATGATGTGATATCCCACTTGTGTGGAGGAAACTCTGATGTTTATTTATGATGTTTATATTTTATTGTAATTTGGGAAAGTGGGGTGTTACAATTGGTATCAGAGCAGGTCGGTCCGTCCGGCCAGTGTAGTTGAGTCTGTCCGTAGGATAAAGATGGTGTATCTTTTAACCTGGTGTTGTTATTGTTGATCAGTATGGCAGGAAGGAATGATGTTGCTTTGGCTACTGCTATGCAAGCGATGGCGCATGTGGTTGCTAATCAGAACCAAGATGCGGGTGCGCAATTTAGAGATTTGGCACAGTTTCGGAGCAACAAGCCACTGATGTTTGAAGGAGGAATTTTGGATCCTGAAGCTGCACAAAAGTGGCTGAAGGCAATTGAGAAAATTTTTAGGACCATGGGTTGTAGTGATGAGCAAAAAGTGAAGTTTGGTACTCACATGCTGGAAGGAGAAGCTGAGGCTTGGTGGGACAACAGTCGCCAAAGATTGGAGGCTGCGGGAACTGCAATCACTTGGGATGTAGTTCGAGCTAGTTTTTTGGAAAAGTATTTTCCAGAGGATATTCGGAGTGCTAAGTGTTGCACCCCAAATTTTGACCCCTTAGATCCTCATCATCATTTTAGGATCATATTCATTTGATTAACTAACCTTAACCCATTTCAAGTTTATCTTTGTCAAGATGCAAATAAATCAGGGTTCCGTACCGTCAAAATCGAGGCTTCGGTGGTTTGATCAATCAATGTGTTGGATTGATTCAACTATAAACAAGATCAAGGATACTACATGGGGTCAAGTATGAATCCAATTTGAGGTTGTCACCCAGGAATTGAGAACGGTGCAGTTCAGGATACCCGATTAGGGTTTTCGATCAGGAAAAGTCAACCGTAGTTTGACATTTGATTTAAAAAGTGTTCCAATGGTGGGATCATGGTCCATGATTTTCCTGTGGCTTATTAAATTCTACTCAAGAAGCTTCAAGGCTTCAAGATACCCAGAACACCAACAGTCGATTCAGAGTTCTTCAATCAATCGGTTCGTCTGACTGAAAAGTCAACTCATTGACCAACATGATTTTGACCAAAAATTGAATTAAATTATGTTCCTAATGGTATATCACATCTATTCATGAATTTTGGTGACCATTGGATCAAGAATTGATAAGTAATCGAAAAGTTGGGAAATTAAGGTTTTGAAAAGGGCAAAGTCATAACTCCTTAACCACACAAGGGTTTTTGACCTAGTTTCAAGAGGAATGAGTTCCTAAAACAAGCATAAATATTTTAGTCCCTAATTGGGTATTTTTAAAAAGTAAAAGTGGGTTCCATAACTCTTCCTGGTTAGAGAGAACCAAGATCCACAAGTTGGCAAAAACTCACATTCGCAAAACTAGGTCAGCATGAGTTTTTTTATTCCAAAACCTCTCCAAATCGATGCTAATCAAAGGCTAAACCTCATTTATGATGTTTAAATTGATAATTAACATTTTAATATCAATTCACACGAAAATGGCACAAAGATCAAAGGAAATCATTATTTAATGCAAGTTGCAAAAGTGAATAGTGAAGAAAGAGAAAAAAGGTGGCT